TTCACATGCGAACACACATTAAATTTGCCATTTTCAAAAAACATTCAATGAACAGGGTCAAGCAAGTGTGGGTTCACACAGGTGTGAAGAGAAATATGAGTCACTCAACTGACCTTGAGTGAAGTTTAGTCCGACTCACTCAAGAAGACCGGTTAATATACAAATCAAGTACAAGATCGCCGTTGAATATGAAAATATGCGGCTCACATGAAAATACGCAGCTCCCAACTTCACAGGTTATGGTCGTTTCACTGAACGACGGTCCGTCGCTTTCTCCAAGTGCCTGATCACACCAAGGTTGGGTCCATCGATATGTCTGAATGAGACAATCCTCAAAGAGGGTGCTCCCATAATCCAAACCCACATTGCCTCAACATCCAGACAGTCCCAACGCAGTCCCAACTGCACCACGTGCTCCAATGACACTTCCCCAACCAACCGCAAGTCCATGTCGCCTTCAATCATCATGCCCGCTCACAATAGCCATACCAACACGTTGATCCTGAACTCAGAGTCGGTCCCACCTGGTCCCAAAATGCTCCCAGATGGTCCCCTTGCAACCCCATACTATCGCCCGCATTACCAAATAGGTCATAACTGAAAACAATTCGCACTGCGTGCCGCAAAAAAAATAAGGGTGACCCTGGTCCAAGCCGCATGTGCTGCGAGCCCCCCCCCCAAAAAAAAATAAAGATGTTCTTCCGGCACAAACCGCAAGCGTTGCAACTCCAATAGCCACTGCCGCTCAGACCCAATCGTGCACCAGCATAGACCCAACCTCTAGGCCACACCAGGATCCACCTTTACTGCCGCACACCAAAACCCCAACGGCGCGACCATGGCTCGCCGTGTCGTCAAATACGCAGCATAACCCCACTGACAGTTGCTGCCGCCGTGCTAAGAAAGAGGTAGCACTTCCACTGAAAGTGTTGCTGCCGCCATGCCAAAAAAAAATTGGCAGCACCTCCCCCTCAAAAAGGTTGCCGCCGAACCAAAATTTCGGTAGCATAACCCCTGATGACCCTTGCCATTATCGCGCCGCCAAACGGACAACACCTCCCCTCAGTCACATTAAAAATATCCGCGTCGCGTGGCAAATCCGGCAGCATAATCCCACTAAGATGAGTGTTGCCTGCCGCACCGTCCGAACTCTGACGCCGCCTACCGGTCACAACACCAGCACAAAGGTGGGGCAGAGGGCCTCCAGCCCTTGGCCATGGCTGCAACATCTCCCCTCATCCTGCAGACCTCCACTCTCCACTGACAACACTTCCTCTCATCCTCCTCTCCTCGGGAACTGTTGCAACACAGACCCGAGTTCGAATCCCTGATGGGGGTCGATTTCGGCCGTGCGCTCTGGTAGATCTGGTAGATCGCGCGGCCGTGCTGATCTTCGCGCGGCCGATTTCGGCCGTGCGATCTGGTAGATCGCGCGGTCGAAATCGACCGCGTCACATCAGAGGGGTGGGGAACCGGGCAGCCCTCAGCAAAAGGAGCCAGCCCAGTCGCCTGTTGTCAGGTTCGATCCCTATGCCTACAGGGTGATAGTCCGACGACGGTACCTACTGGGCTAGCTCCTTCTCACATTAAAAGAGGAGCTGCCATTCATTTGAAGACACTTTAGCCCAATAGGCCTCCCTCTAGCGCTTAGCAGCTAAGCCCGCTTGCCACTGTGGCTGGCCGGCTGGGTTGGTGGCCGACGGCCTTAGCAGCCACCCGACTCAGCCGGCCCAAATGCTATCAACCCCGGCCCTTGGCGCAAAAAGCCCCACGGACCCTAGGCTAACTACCCCTTCACGTTGCGGTCCCAACCTCGTCGCAGCGGCCCCTTTTTGGCCCGCTTAGGCCCTGAATCGCGCGGCTCTTAAGCTGTGCGACATTGTTTTAGGTGAAATAGGTCTAGTTTTACCGTTCCCATATCCGCACATTCCCACGACTTCGACAAAAGCGAAGAATTGCCGTTCGCCTTTGTTACTCCTGGACGCCACACGCGCCCGGACTAACGTCCGAAAACTTTTAGCCTGTCAGTCATAGGTCATGTCTGAATAAACATTGGCAACGTCAGTCTCATCAAGTCCTTCAATTCAGCGAGAAAGTCGGACAGCGTCTGACATTGAAAACCCCCGACAAATACCCTTGTCAGGGTATTTGCCCCGACAGCGCGACCGAAGGTACAACCTTTCCCACGTGTATTAACTCGCGCCGACAACCTACCCTTGTCCCTAGGATGGTCAACTAGCCAATGGACTGCATCCATGATGTCCGCGTGGGGAAGTTTACAAAACATGTCTTTGATGTCATAAGACATCGCAGACATTTCCGAACCAAACCCCATCCGTCTCCCAATTCGATTACTAATATTCTCCAACTTAGGGACGAGAGATTCCACCGACTTAAGGTTGAAGTGCCAGTCCCCGGGTATAGTGAACAACATGTGGTTCAAAATCTTCGCCACAACTCTACCAGTCCTCGCAGTAGGTTCAGAGTAAGTGAGACAGATAGGGCGAAAGCGAGTGAGATACTATGCTTTGGTAAAGCATACTCCTCACCGATCTTACCCTTCTTGTCCCACTGCAAGAACTTCAGGAGTCCACATTCTATGGCTTCAGTCTTGAAAGCAGTCATCAGGGAGTCCTCCGACTCTCTCTGCACCATACCCCGGGCTTCGTACGAATAGTTTCAACATAGCTTCGTAATACACCTTGGGGCAAAGAACCAGGGTTTCCCCTGGGCTTCTGTCCAAGGGTGTGCATACCAAACCGGTAAGCCTTCTCTTCATTTGCTGCACCACCTCCATATCCAAACATTTAGTAATTTCCATGTGAGCATCCATCATACATGCATCTACCTCCCTTTTATCGATCTTAGGTCCAGGGCCCCGAAAGTTAGCCCATCCTACAAACCCATCCGTAATCTTCCTCAACAACAAGCTTGCCCTATCAGGGTGCTTATGTTTTGGCACATTATTGGCATTCACCAAGAGTGGGTGAACGTCATCCAGATCCTGCAGTCTAGCTTGCACGTGTCCTCCTATCCGTGGATAGGGAAAACCTGCACATGTGCAGGTAGACACATCAACCCAGGCATAAACCCGCTGATTGTGTATCAAGTTCGCCACCGCCTGGTTTCTTAATCCAGATGATGTGAACTCCAAGCCGTGCAGATACCTTCATGCATCCTGGAATATCCATGTCTTCAATTTTATCATTGAGGAGTTTTCGGACTTCAACCAACTTGATCCGATCATCGAACTTCAACTTCATCATCAACTTCGAGTTGACATTCCAACCGTGATCAGTTTTGACCACGCGGCTAATTAGCTGTCTCAAGTAAGCGGTTGTGACCGTCTTCTGAAAATCCTGCGCAGCTCTCATCAATCTCATAAGAGATTCGAGGCTGCATTTTCGCAGCATCTCAATTCTTCGCTGGTTACGTAGTATCGGGACCAGGAAAGGTTTATCCATATTAATCTTCGGTTGCCATCTTCTCAAATGCAGGACGTCCACCCTCACACCAGATTCCATCTCGTTCTTGCATGCCGCCAATTTGCAACGCCGTCCGTTAATCAACACCTCAGATTTACCATAGCTAGATCGAATCGATCTCCAACCACCACACCAATAGTTACCCCCATGTATGTACATAGAAAACTGCCTCCGTTTGCCTGTCTCTTGCTCCTATAGAAACTGGTACACGTTAGCACTACCTCCATCTGAGTCGCACAGACTTACGCTGATAGGTATAACTCTCTGCGAGGTGTGATTTGTCCTTGTAATAGGTATAACCCTTTCCCTCTCCCGTCGGCCTCTCCTCCTGCTTCCAACACCTTCCCTTGTTACCGGTTTGTCGGATGTATTCAGAGTCGGGCTCCAGCGTAGTATATACATATGTTCAATCACCGACAGGTCCGCTTGCTTACATCTATCAACAGGAATCAAGACATATGACTCAAATCCAAAAGACCGCCACCACCTATACAGGTGGTTAAATTTTTGCCCTCTGTTACATACCGATAGATGCTCCCGCCAGCGTATAGACCCGGTCCTAGCTGTCTGTCTCACGTACTGCGCACGGCACGACGAAGATGTCAGGATATACACACATCTAGAATCAGTGCTAAAGCATTGAACACCATATCTGCAGTACATATCCACCCACGAGGCAATACATTTCCTAAGCCAGCGTAGCTCATCATACAGCGCCAATGCGATGACAACCAATCCATATAACCTCTCCACTTGCTCATCGTAGATGTCTAACCTCCGTAATTCAATAAGGCGTCCACATATGACCCAAAGTTTACGTGGTGCTCACGAACCACTACCTGCATCGTCATCAGCATCTCCATCGTCTCCTTTAGTATCACCGACCTCTTCCGTTGCAACATTCTGCTTCTCCTCTTCATGATATGCGACCCATGTCCGTTTCTCGGTAATAACCAGGATGGCTTGCATCTTCTTCCCATCATAGATGACATCTTCATCTTGACAGATACGTTTGAGTTCTTCAACGTTGAGATTCCCCAGCATCCGAAGGTTCTCAGTTACGAACTTCAATTTACCAACCAACCCTGGTGCTGCCGGAATCTTCCTTCGGCCAGGGGTTGGAGTCTTGTGCTGCGGGGTCTTCTTCATCGGCTGATGTCTACAACCAAGTTGCAGCTTCCGCTTCGCCGTTCTCTTTGCAGGTGTCTCCATTGGCGGACTGTCACCAACAGCATTGTCCTCACCCCGTTTGCGTTTCTCACTAATAAGAAGATGCTCTGTCTGCTAGCTCAGCGTATCAACCTCACTGTCGTAGCTTTCGGCATCATCTTCATCCGATGATGGGGGTAAAACAACTCTCGCTTCAAGTTTGCCTTTGACCCTCCTCCTCTCCTCCCGTTCGTATCTCTCCTGTAAAGATTCGCCGATTTCGCCCATATGTGGCGAGATTTCCATCAACATCTCTTTTCTCAAGGCTTCCTTCTGCTCTTCCTCCCTCTTCTTCTTATCCTCCTTCCGTTTCGCCTTTCGAATCACGGCTTGGCGTGCTTCTTCTGCTGCTTGCCTTTCTTCCTTCTCGCGCTCTAATTGAGACTGCTTCTCCATCTTCCGTTTTTGTTTCTCTTCTTTCTCGGCCTTAACAACATCGAAACCCTCCTTCATCGTGGCTATTGATGCCGCCAGTTCCTTGATCAATTTCTTCATTGCCGGGTCCTCCGACGTTGCTTTCGGTGTTGGCATTCGAACGTGTTGCCTAGGGGACAACGAGCGTCCCTGCTGACCAGCGTACCTCGTACCACCCTCACCTCCGAGCTTCGGGCACTGATTCCGATAGTGGCCTGACTCTCCACATTCGTAACACACAGGAACGAAACATCGTGGCGGCTCATCGTTCCTATCTGACTGACTGGATGTACCATGCTCCCACGTGCGATCTCTATGTCCTTCCACCGATCGTTCGCCAGTACCTCCTTGTCTTCTATAGTCACCACTTCGGTGACCACATAGTCCGCGACGATAATCATGTCTATAGTCGTTATAGTTGCGCCCCGCCATCTTCGTAAAGCGCTTTAACAACTTCGAGCAGAATAATCGCAAGCCCTCGGACATCCAAGGCCTTACACCGGTGCTGATTCTTAGTTGTGCCGCAGAAAGCCCACCGTGAGCTTCTCCAATCGCCGTCAAACCACCGTGTTGTTTCACTCGTATTTGAGTCGAAACCAATAACGCCAAATTGCACTGTTGATCATCCAACACGTCAACAAAAAAACAGATTGGTATAGGCGGAGAACACTATCAACAATCCATCTATCCAATCGTACAACCAACTAGCCCTCCTTCATTCGCCACTCGAGTCAAACTGAGCTCCTTAACGTCAATACCGAGAAAGGTTCTTCAACGAACGAACACATCATCCAATCAGCATCATCATATCCTCGTCACTAAGCTGCTTGAATTATAACGAGACCAAAGAAGGATCCCATCATATTACGACGGAAAAGCAAAATACAACATCACTTTGAACAAGGTCATGTACGAGGACTACCAAGCGTCCAACCATCGTACGACCAACTAACCCTCCTTCGATCTCCGCTCTAGTCAGAGCAGCTCCGTAGTACTCATACCGAAAATAGACATGAGTCAACGAACAAATCATTTGCTCCGTCTCCTCGTATCCTCACCACCTAGCTGTCTTGATTATTAAGACAAAACGAGGCATCACCGACGTCAAAACTTCGCTCCTAGTATGTTGCGTTAGCAAGAAAACACCGACGTCAAAAACTTCGCTCCCAGTATATTGCGTTAGCAAGAAAACACGAACAAATAGTAAAACGTGCTCACACTTCGCCGGCGTCTTCCGAGTGGGTTCACACGCGCCTTTAGAATTGCATTGAGAAGAAGGGAAAAATACACAGCTTAAGATCACACACAGAAGCGCATATAAAAAACTGATGTATATTCCAATACCAGATACCAAGATACACAAGTAAAAAAGAGTGCATGCCGGTTGGGATGTGGCCGCATGTCTTCTTGTGAAGTTTTTATCAGACGGATAAATTGCAAATACCCCCACAAGTTCATGTATATGCTAAGATGTCCCTTTACGTCCTGGGTTTAGTGAAATCTTTTGTCGATGGAGCCACGATAACCCTACGGCATACCGTCCACATTGGGGAAATACCCTCGTACATTCTTACTTTTTCGAAGGCCCGACTCGGAGCGCAAAAGGCCAAGGCCCAAATGGTAATGCGCATATTGCAAATTACGAGCGACTGACAGGTGCATACATCATATAATGGGCCCCAAAAGCGCATTGCTCTTTGCCAGTCTTTCGCCACAACTTTGAGGGACATATTGGCTTATATGTCAACATACAAGGGTATTATGTAATTAACCCTTTCTCAGACAGCGAAGGGCTACAGCCTTGAGACATTACCTTTGTAACGTCGTTCCGTTGGTCTCCATCGCAAATGCACGAACGGTTGGACGACACCGATCACGATTGCAAGTGGCACCGTCTCGCATCCAACCTCGCGTATTGTGTGTGTGTGTGTGACTGTGTGTATGTGTGTGTGTGTGTCGTGAGGTGGATACTAATCGCGCCGAGTCATTGACGCGCCACGCTGTCCAATCAGCAGAGGCAGTCGAAATCGTCGACGAAGAGGATGATTACCGCCCCACTTTCCTGCTCTCTCTCTCTCTCTAACAAACACACACACACACACACACACACATACACTCAAACACCTGTTATACCTCACAAGGGCACCGCTGCTATGGCTGTCGAAGATATTGTCCCGTTCGTGCCAGTAGAAGTCAACGTATTGCAGCAGAGGAATTCAAGGTTCGAGAGGCTGCTCCTAGCTTCGGAGAGGGAGGCCAGCACTCTCACTGAAACCCTGATCCGAAGAGGAGATCGTGTTGTTGTCGAAATGGGAGGAGGGGATGAGATTACCCGTGAGCCCGTCCTAAAACAGCGCTGTCGAACGCATCGGTCCGGCACCGCACCAGGGCAGCGCGGGACCCTCCAGTCCGCGTCACGCAGGAGTCAATCTAAATCCTTCGTCGCAATATACATGGAGCTTCCACAAACCGCTCCGGCCGAGTGCGCCAGCCATACCTATAGCGAGCCCCTACGACATGATAGGGCCTACGCGAGGCACGACTTACCTACACCTTACGGGAGTTGTCACCTCCCTTCGGTGGGCATATCCCTGCCGAGCTACCAGTCCACAGTACGAAAGCTAATCAGCTGCAATCACAGAGGTGGACCAGCCGAGGGCGTTTCTCGTTCGCTGTAGCATAGGGGGTACACGCGGTAATACACCTCTATCGGACCCGCACGCGAACCGACACCTTGGGGGGCTGAGGTCCCAAGCGCGGTTCGTCGCCGGTCGACTAGGACGCATCCCACACACCACGGGCACTCCACTTTACAAACGCACATACAGAACAACACATATACAAAACGATACAACGCAAACAACACAACAACGCTCCTAGCCCCTCGGTAGCCAACCCATAACTTTCCAATGCGGAAATCGAATAGGCGTCGCGCGCAAGACTTAGTATAAAACCGCGCAGACGCAAGGCTAACTCATATCGACTCGCAATGCAAGTGTACGCACGCAGTCGCGACAATGGCGTACTATGTAGTACCCATACTAAGACGATCCTCGTTAATCTCGAGGGTCGCATTCGACACTCAAGTGTCGGCTGACACGCGCCTTGAGAGTTAATCTCTCGACGCTGGACAACCGCCATGCGCGGTGGAAGACCACATCCTCTTCTGCACCCTGTGCAAAGGGGTTGAGTAGACAACTTTAAGTTGTCGTGGCAGTCGAACATCAAGGGGTTTGACTTTGACGGTTGCCACGAACTATAACGTCGAACTATAAAAAACTCCAAAGAGCAGAGGATAACAGAGGGTTTTCCTTCTCACTCAAGCCCAAATTTGGTTAACCCTTGCGCACGATCACTGTAAGTCGCGCACATACCCGAGGCACTTATAGATATATAAGGGTTAACTATATAGGACGATCACTTCTCACAGGCACAGTGAGGCTCCTCTCAGCCATATATGTATGAAATCGCAGGCAACCACACCCAGAGTCCGAACCACAACCATACCTGTAATCACATCAACGAGTCAAATCAACAGCCCACGCGCTACACGGAGTCAACCTCAACCATCTTCGACACTCATACCCCTCGCTTTAGCCATGCAAGCCCCAAACCTCCTGTCCAACCAACCTTAATTAAAATACTTAGTACCTTTGTTAAATGGCCATTCAATAAAAGTCCGAGTGAAACCTTAATGAAACAACGAAATCACCAGGGCTAAAGCCTTTCAGGTTGAGTGTAGAGGAAGAGTTGAAATTGAGTCGTAGACCGACGAATCGGCAACCGACCTGTTATCAGCGATAACAGAAAGTGATCCTTAAGGGATCAAGCTGGATCTAGCCCTTAGCTTGGATCAAATGATCAAAAAAGACTTGTAATACACGGCAGACCAATCCCCAAGCTAAGATCATAAGTGTATGGAGAATACAACTCCATAGTACATCCTCACTCAAAATCTCCTTATAAGTTAAACCTAAGTCTACTTTTAAGTCAGTGCTTAACCCAAAGGTAGACCAACTGCAGAATCTCCCCTATTCTGGGTAGATCGCCTGAATCACCACCTGTCAAAATATAATCTATCTCCTCTAAACTAAGAAAATTTCGGCAGCGTTTCCCGTAGGAAAAGTGTCTTTCCAGAATTTATAAAAGCCCATATACGAGAGCAAAAATAATCTCTAACTCCTGGAAAGTCAAATTTTGTCGAACTCCTTGATTTAGTAAAAATTTGGGCAGCACTCCCTTTACAAAGAGAGACTTCTCAGATTTATACTAAGTCTGATTTGAACTCACAATACAACTTGAGTTTAATTTACACAAGATTTAACTAACTCCTCAGTTTTGCAGAAATTTCGGCAGCACTCCCTCTAGAAAAGTTTTTTCCCAAAATTTATACAAAGCGAGGTCCAGAATTTGAGAATAACTTTGACTTCTTAAAGTTCAATTTTGTCTAACTCCCTAAATTAGTAAAAATTTGGGCAGCACTTCCTTTAGAAAATGAGACTTTCCAGATTTATATTAAGCCAGATATATGGAAAAGACAAGTTGAACTCTGACAAGTTAAAAGTTGACTAACTTCTTGGATTTGTAAAAATTTCGGCAGCGCTTCCCGTAGGAAAAGTAACTTGTCAAGATTTATACAAAGCCAAGTATAAGAAAAGATCTCAGAAAATGCAGGAATTGACCTAAGTAAAAAAAAGTTATTACAGAAAATGCAGGAATTGACACTAACTCATATGGCTCTAACACGTGGCGAGCAACTAAAGTAACTACCTATAATACTGAAACCCAAACAAACAAGTCATGCCATCCAGTCACATTTAAACCAAACCACGAATGTAAGTACTCTCACCATCCCAAGTTCATTCCATATAGATAGTTCATGAATCTTCAAGTCCTTGAATCCTTATACCCATCTTACATAAGACATAGAGCTCGACCATTCGCCATGGAAGCAATGCCCAACTTGTCTTTATGATATACACGAACAGGTTGCACAACTACTTCTCACTTCTTTTGGGCAGATGACTAGGTCATTCGCCATGGAAACAATGCCTAGTCGCCCTGAGCTGTTTAATATCCAAAGATTTCGTATTTCTCTGACTTCGTTTTCAAAAGAAAAGACAAATATGGCAAGGGACTTAACCATTCACAATAGAAACAATGTTCAACTTGCCCAAACTATTTCCATTTATACTTTGTATTCTCCCTTTTCTCTTCTTAATGATATGTCTTAACGTTGGACCATTCATACTAGAAACAATATCCAGCTGCCAGTTCACATGCAAATATACATAAAGTACTTTCCTTTATACTCAGTTTAATTTATGTGTGTAGTTTTCAGGCTAAACCATTCACCATGGAAACAATGCTTAGCCTTAGACAAAAAATCCTCCCTCAGAATAAACAAGAATTTAAACCCCTTCAATCAGGCAAACCCTCAGAGTTAACTAGAGTAAACAGACCATTCACAGTTGAAACAATGTCTGGTCCTCCAAAAAACAACTAAATAAACATAGCAACCCGGCCATTCACAGTAGAAACAATGCCTCGTCCTTTAGAAAACAGCCAAATAAATATAG